GGATTAATTATGGGATAAACTTATTGTTTAACTACCTTCAATATTTTTCTTATTTGTTAGGAAGTTCTCAAAATTTGCAAATTTTTAAAATGTGAATTCAGGTGGAATATGACTACGGGGGCTGCTAGACCTAATCCACAAGGAACCTTCAATGTGACTAATGTGACATTGTCACAAACATTTATCTTTACTGGATCAGCAACTAACATTAAAGGTTTTTATTATTACGCAATCAATAATGTGTCTAATTCAATCGGAAGCACTCCGTTGAAACTCGCTGATCTAATGACAAATGGATCTGGAGTCTATCAACTTGACAAATTCTCCACTAACTCTAGCAATGGAAACCTAAGCCAAGGAGTTTTTGTTGCTAGTGGAAACCATAAAGGGTGGTTAGAAGTTGTGCTCAAGAATGATTTAGATGCTATAACTTCTTGGCATTTGGATGGGTATGGTTTCTATGTTGTAGGGTAAGTGCAATAACAATATGACTATCAACATTTTTTTTTTTTAATATGCATGCATAAATATGAAATTTTGATTTTTGTTGTTTAGATTTGGTGATGGAAATTGGACATTCAAATCACGTAATAGTTACAATCTTTATGATCCAGTGGTTCGTTCTACGACTCAGGTATATTAAATATTTTAATGGATTTAGTTTTTATAATAACTTTTCCAAAATTAATGTTTAGTAAGGTGAGTTGGCTATTTTATGTTCAATTAACTTCAGTGACCAAAACTGACTCATATTTTATCAGGTTTATCCTAAAAGCTGGACTGCAGTCTATGCATACCTTGACAACCCTGGAATGTGGAATTTGAGATCACAGAATTTGAAAAATTGGTATTTGGGCCAAGAACTCTACTTGAGAGTTTACGATGCTGACCCCAATCCTGCCAAAGAGAAACCACCTCCAGATAACCTTCTTCTATGTGGTACATGCTTAGTACTATTTATTTTCTTCTTGTTGTAATATTTCTTTTTCCTATTCAAAATTGCCACTGTTTTTTTTTTTTTTTTCCTATTATTTGTTTACAGGAGCATTCGCTCATCCTCCTCCACCTCCCAAACCTTTGTCACCTCCTGCTCCAGCTAACACTCCTCCTTCTCGAGCATCATCCACAAAAATAGCATGGTAAACAAAAAGTTTAATAAAAATAATACCATTTCATGTCCTTTTTTTAGCAAGATTTTATATTTTGTTTAAACATTCCTTTATTGAGTCAAATGGGTCCCCGAGAATTTGGCATTTCTGCTAAGAAGTTGTGCTGATTTCAAACAAGGGGATACAATTGAGGAATGTCTGATGCTTCAGGAATTGAATTTGCTATTATTGTTTGGAGAAAATACATTGGGAATCAGTAGATAGTTAAAAGACTAATTAGTAGATAATTTTACAAGAGATACCTCTTTGTAATTGACTAACCTATCTATCTCTTACTGTTGTTAGGTACTACATGATGCTGATCTGCATTGTTCCGAGCCTCTACCTCGGCCAGAAGTAGGAGTTGACACTCATCGCTGCCTGAATTTGACATTAATGAAGTGATACTCCAAAACGTGGAAATGTAATCCCAGAATTCATTTTGCTTGAAATATTTTTTGGACAGCATTACGTTCCTTTTTCTTTTTTTTTGTTTTTTTTGTTTTTGGTGTACATATGCATGTCAATGTGAAATAAATTTAATACCCATTTCGTGAAATTCTTCGACTCTCGAAATTGATTTTTTTCTTCTTTTTTATTAATAAATAAAATAAGGGCAAGTTCTTGATTTGTGAATGTGATACCGGGTCATGAGAGGAGTGTTCATGTGGGGGAAAAGGGGAATTGGAGTTGAAGTGAAAGGAAGTAAAGCTGATGAGAGGCAAAAAAATTAAGAGAAATGAAAGGAATAGTTTAAAGGTAAGTTTTTTCCTCATAAAAAACGGAAGAAATTTCTTTTGTACAATAGTACTATACCACCCCAGATTCAGGAACGAACGTGGGGAAGAAGCATATGCAGTTGTCTTTTGATTCAAGTTCATTGTTTCCTCTAAGAAAATGCTAGGAAGGAGCCTAGAAGAAACACTTGCCATCGTTTTAATTACTTAATTTTGTTGTCAAACTGTCTTTTTGTGATGATCTAAATGACTAAATCGTCTCATTCGAGATAAAATAATATATATAATATATTAGAAGCAGTAACCAATTGGCCTATTAGCTCAGTTGGTTAGAGCGTCGTGCTAATAACGCGAAGGTCGCAGGTTCGAAACCTGCATGGGCCATTCTTTCGTTTTTGCTTTCTTCACCCTTTTTTGGTGCGAAGGTCGCAGGCTCGAAACCTGCATGGGCCACTCTTTCATTTTTGCTTTCTTTACCCTTTTTGGTCCGTAGTTTGGACTGTAGTTGGACTTTTCTTTTGATACTTTTTGGGTCCAAGATAAAATAAAATAGAAAAATAATAAGTATTTACTTGATATATATATATATATATATTTAAAAGTTTATATTTCTCGGGTAAATTGTGTGCTTTAAGATTGAGTAAACTTATGAATTTCTCTCTCGCAACTTTTTTAATATTTAAATTTTAGATAATAATACGAAGAACAAATTTATTTATTATTTGAACCAACAGTTTAAGAACATTTAAATATTTACTTGATTTATTTACTTTTTGAAAAAAGAAGAAGAATTAACATATCTTTTTGTCATTTTTAAGAGTCAAGAGTTTCTTCGGATTGATATTATGTATCAGTGGTTCTTTGGTATTATTATGTTTTCAAAACACAATTATTTTTAGTTATTTTTACTAAATATTATTTTACTAATGCTATTTTTTATTAATTTAGGATGTAACAGTTAAATTACACAACAGTACAATAATACTAAATAGATTTCAAGTTTTTATTTTTTATTTTTTTCAATTGAGGTTTAAATCTATTCATACTCGAATTAATATATCCACGAGAAATTCCTTCATATTTTTGTCTTCTTATTCAATAAATGATATTTTCGGATGAATTTGTATATCAATTAATAATTTTTTGCCTAAATGATTTTAAAGATTCACCTCTCATATCGACTTAATACATTTAGAAAAGTACTCTTTTTTTTCAAATATTGATTGTGTTAAAAAATAATATAAATTATATCATGGAATCTTATCTAGAATTTAAGTTTTTGAGTGAGATAATCATTTGATATGATATTAGAGCCTTAATGATCAACCTATCATGAATTCGAATTTTATTATTCCTAAAGTTTTAGCTTTTGAGTGATATATAAAGTAACAGATTGAATACGTACATCAAAGATCTAAATTTAAAAAACAAGAAAGAATAAGAAGAAGAAGAAGAAACGTCTTTAATTAACCATTCAATTGAATGTCGCTTTATCTTTATGTTTTAACTTAGAGATGAATGACAAAATTGAAAAGTATTGACTTAATTGCATGCCCACCAATCAAACCAAGAAAATTGGTCACACGTACCACTAGTGCGCAATTTGGACCATTCATCAACCCTAACCTCACAACTTGTATCTAACCATGTACCTCAAAGAATTGACCTAACTCCCAAATTAGCACTAATTAACTACACACTAGCCCCCCTCATTGGCAACCTCACAATCACACATCTCTCTCCCTCTCTCTGCGGTAGACCTACAGCCACTTGACTATTTGGACAGCCACTCTTGCTTAAGAACAGCTAATGAGGCTTAAAAAGTATCATACATGGACAAGGTTTTGGTACAAGGCTCGTTGTCTTCATTAATCTCTTAATGGAAATCATCGCCAACTTTGTGCTTAATCGATCCTTAACATTCTTATGTCATAAGTTTTTGTATGGCTGGATCGGCTTGGTTTTAATAGATGTAATTTGGTACCTAACAAACCAAACCAAACTAGACTTTTATTTAGTTTGCAGCAAAATCCATGAAATCCATGTGTATAAGATAGAAACAACTACTTTTGAATGATTCTCAGACTTGAAATCTCACCCCCAGTTCACGATAAATTTCTTTCTCGTGTCACTTCTTTGGATTGTTACAACTAGCTAGCTAGTATGATTTATTGTCTAGGGGTTAAAAATAAAATAATATTACTTGTTGCTCAAGACTTTGATCCTAGCTACCTGCTTAATAAATAAATAGGATCAGATGTAAATGCAGTGTCATTATATATAAACTTACACTCATGTAGTGAGAGACGCAGAGAGTTGAAAAATGTAGAAGAATCAAAAGGGTTTAAAACCCAATTTCAGCATGTTAAATTTGAGGTCTTGCAGCAGTTGATAATTGATGGGATATGCTGATTAGGTGGATTGAGGAGGCTAGTAACTAACAAGAAGGTGGACCAAGCCAGAAAAGAACAAAAAAATAGCTAAGTAGAGGGGGATTTTTTTTAATATTTTAATTGAAGGAAAGGGCAAGCGGTGGATTGTTCATATGGGAAGTGCAGTTCCTTACTGACTCTTCTTATGTTATGATGCTTCATTTTTATTCTATTTTTTTGTCACCAAGAGCATGAGAAAGAAAGAGAAGCTGGCAGAGAGGCACTCTTCTAAATGAAACAATGAAAAATATTAACCAAAGCAACAGACTTTTTTGGTTTTGGTGGAGGTGACAAACACAAGCTAAACACTCTCTTAAGTGTGCAACACATTCCCTCCCACTGAAAAAGAACAAAAACCAATGATAAAGAGAAAGAAAAAGATGCCCATATACCATGCACTTTCCATGAATTAGCTAGAGTCTTTTTAGAACAGAAATTGCTAGCTTTTACAAACAATTCAAGTTCGCTACATAACAATCTTTGATCAAGCTAAAAATATTAAAAGAATTAAAAGAATGTTATATTATGATCTTTTTAAGCGTTTACAGAGGGGAAAAAAAAGAATTATCAGGTAAAAATCAACATCAAATTAATGGGCATGTCTGATCAAATAGAGGAGAAGGGACGAAAAAAAAAAAAAAAGAACTTCTGAAGAAATCAGAAAAATAAAAGTATAACCTTCCTCAGTAATGACAATCCACCAAAGCCGGGCTAGAGAAGACAAGAGGTGTACTGTTTTGCTGCTGTTGCTGTTGTTTTTGTTGTTGCTTGGAAGCAAAGGCAATTTTTTCATCTTCTGGGGCTGGAAGATTGAGATCCAAATCCAAAGAAAGTGCGTTTCTTGCTTTCTGGGGTTCCTCAGATTCTATAGCCATTGGTGTTAATGACAAGGTTGTGGTACTAGACACAAAAGGCCCCCGGTGCCGCCTCATATGACCACCTAAGGCCTGTCCTGATGTAAACTCGGCACCACAAACTGAGCACTCATGAATCTTGCCTTTATTGTGATTGCTGTACGTACCTCTATTAGTATTGTTATCACTCAATTGAAGAGAAAGAGAAGAAACGTTCTTGTAATGCACATCTTCTTCGTCGGACGATAGCGAAAGATTTTGCTTCCTTTCGTCATGGTGGGTTGCCTTAGGCTTCTTATGACTAGCCCTATGTCCGCCTAATGCTTGAAAAGATGGAAACGTTCGGTTACACGTTTTGCACTCATAAACATAGTAACCAACCTTGCCAGAACCTGTTGAATTAGCAGTTTCTAGGAATTTTCTACTATTGAATTTGGTGGTGTAAACCCCTCCTCCTCCTCCTCCTCTTGTATCATAGTCTTGACGGTGTTGTTGTTGTTGCTGCTGCTTCTGTTGTTTTGGGAAATCTCGTGAATGGCCTTTGGCAAGAAGGATAAGGCAATTGGCCATGTCTTCTTCTTCTTCAGTGCTATCTTGAAATTCATCAATGGAAGTTGCTGGTGACCAATTGGTGCCACCATCTCCACTTGATGAATTAGCTGTTAAACCAAAAGGGATTGGTGAATGGACCCTTAACCTCTTCGTTCTCTTCCCTTTCACAACATTGGCTGCGACTTCCTCTGAAGCTTCCATTTTTCTCCCAACACTGTGATCAGAGAAAGAAGGGGAGAATTGATGGGATTAAATTAAGCAGGTGGTGGGGAGTGGGCTTGTGTGTTTTTATAAGATAAAAAAAACAAATAAAATAGTAAATGGGAGAGAAGAAGAATTAATGAAGGGTATATAAGAGAGAAAAGTTTGTTTTAGGTGACAGGTTTTTAGAGTCAAAAAAGACACCCAATGGAGCAGTTAAGTGAGAATTAGTCTGAGGCAAAGATGTAATCTTTGTTTGAGTTTGCAAGCAAGCTATAGCAAAGCAAGTTATAAATAGGGGTTATAGTTGCAAAAATTAGACCAAAAGAGTGGGGGGAGCGAGAGGGATGAGAAATAGAGACAAAGAGCCAAAAACAAACAGATCGATGTAACGGAAAAGTTGATAAAATTAGAGACAATATTGAGGAAGTAATTAAAAAAAAAAAAAATGGGAAGGAGAGGGTGTCTGGGAATGTCAAGTCCGTTTCACGCTCTCTTTCTCACACTTTGCCAACTCACTTCAACACATCAAACAACAATAACAGGAATTGATTAATTTTATGAACAAATTAATAAAATCTTAATTGATTTATTACCCATAATTGCCTGGCAGCACAATATTATTAGCTAATATTGCTCTCATCCACCCTTTCTTTGGCCACTAACTCGCACCTCCACTCATGTCTATGTCTATACACTGATGAGTTGTAATTAACACACCATTCCTAGTTTATAGCACCACAAACTTATCTCTATGTACGGACTATACATGTGTATTAATTTTACAGTGTCTGTGATCACATCATTTGAACACGATTTTTTATTTTTGTTTTTTGTGTTTTTTTTTAAAATAAAGTTTATTAACAAAACCTTGTTTCAATTAATTTGCTTAATTATATGTTGCAAACTGCATGGTGGTCCGAAATTAAGATACTTATTCGTTTTATTTTTAATGATCAAGGTATTCGTTGGTCAGTTTTTGACTAACGAGACTAGATTTCTTTCTGATCGTGTTTATTAAAAAAAAAAAAAGAATATAGTTTATATAACTTTTGGCTCAAGTAATCGTGTGTCTAGCTAGGATTTTTTTTTTATATATAAAAAAATCAATTTTCAAGAATGAAATATAATAACTTATTCCTTATTGCAATTAACAATCAAGAATAATGTTATACTCTCTTTTTCCAAAATGGATTATTCTTTTTTATTTTTCGTATAAATTAAGAAGGCTATTAGTTCTTAAGTCATATCGATATTTTTTATTCATGCTTTCCTAAAATATCTTCTTCTTTTTTATAATTGTATTTGAATGATTTTTTACAAAAATAAATTTTAGTTAGAGGTATTTTAAGAAAGTAAACTACTTAAAGTTTTGACTTGACAAATATTTTGAAACATATATAAATAAAAAGATTAAATGATTTCTTTAGAATATATAGGAGTATAAATAATTTTCATCCATAGTTAACCATACTTCAAGAATCCATTTGGAGTATTGAGAGAGAGAAAAAAAAAACATCCGATACTACAAAAAGTGATAAGAATATGTTATTATTAATTTTTTTTAATTTTCTTTTTCTCTCTCTCTCTTTTTATATCCATCCCACAGAAAAAAAAAAAAACATGCCAATAAAATTTCTCTTGAGTACTCATGTTAGTCCTTTAAATTAAATAATGCCTAAGATTTCATTGGGAAATCTTCTCTTAATGAACCAAATTTACTTCTTTTTATAATTCAAATTTAACCAAATCCATTTCTTTTTATATGCTATCAATTGGCATGTCTTATTGATAAAATATGTCTCCCTCATCTCCATGCATTATAAAAAATAAAAATAAAAAATAACAGTCTGTCTCTCTCTCTCTCTCTCAATTTTCTTTCAATAAAAAGCATTAAAATTAAGATCAAGTAAAAGGGGGGAAAAAGTCAAATAATAGATTAAAAAACAAGTTAGAATACGAGTTTTCAGTGCATCAATTACCTAGAATTTCATATGATAAAAAAAAAAAAATCGATAGCATTGAAGAAGGTGATTAGTTAAACTTCTTCCATTAAAAAAAAAAAGAAAAAGAAAAAGAAAAAAAAGAGTTGTTTCAAATTGACTTGTGAGGAATTACATAAATTTGGAATCTTTTTTAACACTCCTAATAAGTTAGATTTAAAGGGAAGTTTTTCATTTTACACAAATATTATATGATTAAATTAAATAATTTAATTAATTTTAAAGTCAATAACAATGACTCGGAATTAAACTAACATTATTTATGGAAGAAGAGGCGCGTGCAAGTGAGTGGGCTGAGTGCTATGGTTAGCTTTCTCACACGTCTTGTTGAAGAAACATGCATACTGCAAATAACAGGCAATCACATTTTTATGTAATAAAATACCATATACGGATAAACAAATAAATAAAATTAAAAAGAGTGTTTGAGATTGAGAGAGAGGAAAAGGGAAAGAGAGCAAAGCGAAGCAAAGAAAGCCCGTTACTTTGCCTCAAAGATTCGCTCAAGTCTCGGAGATGATTGGAGTGCAAGCCTGGAACACACGGAATCTGCGGTGCTCCTCTTTCTTGTGTTCCTCTAATGTCCAGGTTTGCATGACCAACCATTCATGATTTTCTTGTGCCTTTCCCTTTCCCATTACTGCTTACATACTAACACTTACTAGTGCTCCATTATTTCACTATTCCATTGGTGGGTGGATCATGGGTGGGTTGGATGTTAATTTCACTAAAACATTGCATAACCAATACATCAAATTTTTATGGTTTTAATATTTTTCTTGTAAATATATCGGTCTGAGTGTCAATAATCGATTTAAAATTGAACTAAAAAAACTCAATTTTAGTATATAAATAATGATAATCTAGTAATAGTTTGATATTATGATCACATGAAAAAAATGAGACGCATACACACACATATATATAATGAGAATTGAATGCATGTATAGAAAATCTTAGTAAAGAAAAGGATTTTCCATTCTTTTTTAAAATGTAGTTCTTTGTAAAAAAAAATTTTTCCTCCTGTATCTCAATTTTATAATTTAACTTTTTTCAAAAAGCGAAAAATCTAGAATTCAAATTCTGCATATTGATAAAAAATTCATCCGACGACTAGTTCATTTACTCGTTGAACTAACAACTTTTTAAATGATAGATCTCTTGTAATTTTCATTCTGCATATGGCTATTATGTGATTAAATTAAGGTATAAATATGAGTATAAATGAACTTTGATGGAACAACGAAAGAAGACAGGTGTAGCATGTCCTTGCTAATTATAATCACTCACTGAACTTCAATAAATTTATCCAATACAATACAGAGGGAATATTTTAAAGATTAAAAATTTGGATAAGTATCTTAGTGAATGTTACATGATGCCTTGTTAAATACATAATTTTTTTGCTCATCATTCAATTCATGTGCTGCTGGCTCTTCCATTTATCTAATCACATAATTAGTTATATATGCCTCATGTCTTGTACATGTTATTTATTTTTTTAATTTGAAGTATCCATTGCCTGGGCCATAATATCCAATTAATGGCAAACCTACTTCTCAAGTTGACTTAACTTTTCATAGCCTAATCATTGAGTTCACTTGGTTCGATAACATAAGAGTTACACTAAGGGCATGGTTAGAATTTGCTGGTTTTTTATACGGGCAATGCCAGGTTTTGGAGTGAACTTCAAGTTGAGGAAACTAAGAAACTAGTGATGTAGAATATTCCTTTTTGAGAATTGATGAGTAATTAAATAGGCTATTAACTCTAATTAAATGTGTTTTGATTCTAGTTTAGGCAAAAAAGTAATAGAACTAGTTTCAATTGATACAAAAACTTACGTAACAATACTACATGTAAATGTCAAAAAAAAAAAAACAAACAAACAAACTCTAATTGCAAATTCTATTGCATTTTTGTACCATAATCATAATCAATTCTTGCTAATAACTGCTCATAAAAAAATGGTCATTGTATATATTACGTTTAAATCAACCTGAGTGTCCAAATTCAATCAAGTGAAGTAATATTCTTGACATTTAAGAAACATCAATAAGTCAATTCCTAGGCGTAATGAATCTACTTCAAGCTTAATTCTAAGGCTTCAAACTAAGACCAAAGATTGTGCCTTAAGTTCATTAATGATAACAAATTCGTTTACATATAAATTATGTTAAATTTACTATTATTTTGGATACAAACTACAAATAATGAATCGGATTTTTTTTTAATGGGAATTATGGGCCATTTATTTGATTTACAGCCACGAGAACCAACAAAAATACTAAAAGAAAAAAAAGTTGAACCTACCTATTTTGGATTTTTACTTGAACAGAGAGATTATCCAAGCCCGGCTCATCCCCACTTCATAAACTTGGAAAACAAGTGGAATCTTCTACTGATAAATTTGAAAAATAGACGGGGGCCATTTTTTTATTACAAAGATCACAAGTTTTTCTACATTGGAGATATTGCGTATCAACAGTATCTCGTACACAATTGACCATGACATACATGATTCATGCATAAGTGGTAGTAATTACTGATTTTTTTTTCTTTTCTTTTTGTTTCTTCATTGATATTTTTTAGAGTATGTAGCTAGAGAGTCAATGCAGAATGGCTGGATTAAGGTCGGCAAATTCGACGCGTGAATAATCATTATTGATTGATTGTGTGACGCACGTAAGGATCCGAAACCAACCCAAGAAACTATGATTTAGGCAAGCAAAGGATCTCTTAATCATGGGTTCCTCTCTCATCCTCAATCTTCTAGGCTACATGATCTCACACTTTCTTTTAGTTCTCACTAGCTTTTTTACCAGCAGCGTACCCGCAATATGCTACGAATTTATATTGTAGATCCAACAAAATACACCAAATTATTTTTAAAAAATTATTTTATTTTAATGTCTCGTACTATATTATATGTTCTACTAAAATATATCAAATCAAATCAAAACTGAATAAAAATTCATTCAATTTTATCATTTTTTAATCAAAATTTTATATTTGACTAATTATTTTTTATATTTTCATATTTTTTTATTAAAAAATATTATTTATTTATCTCTAACTATATTTTTAGCTAAAAACTTAATTTGTAAATTGTTTTTTAACATCATTTTTCCTTAAAACTTTTAATTAAAAAAATTAGAGAGAGAAAAAAAAGGATTAAAGTGATCAAAATAAAATAAAAAAATAAAACCAAAATCAAATAAAAAAAATATTTACGAACTAAAAACACAATATTAAAAAATAAAAAAAGACTAAAGTGTAATGTCACGATAACTTTTATAATAAATATCTAAAAATATTTAAAAACTATAAAAATACCACTAAATAGTAAAATGAATAGTATGAATGAGTCTGAATGAATAGTAACGATGTTTCAAATACTACGAAAAATAGTAATTGATTTTAATTTATTTTTTCATAATATAATGTAACGTCATGCTTCTGCAAAAAGTGTGGGCACGGAAAAGAGCTAACTTGGAAGAGATTGCTAGCTAGCTAACAAGTGTGCCAGTTCTGAATGTATAACCGACTTTATTTGTATTTTCTACTATAAATTATACCATTTGTACTTCACAAGTCATCCATGAAAGAAAAGATATACAGTAGCTTCTGAGCCACTCAATGGAATATGTTATGTTGACACTAAAGCAACCAAAAATTCCAAATATTTTATTCACAGAAAAAAGAATTAATTAATTAATATATGAGGAAAATAATAATTCAACAAATTGTGATCCACTTTCTTAGTCAACTGTCGCAATGGCTGCTATGAGGTAGGTTTAATATCCATAGTAAATGCGGGAAACTTGTGATTATATCACCAAATAAAAAATTACCACAATTGTGTAAAACTTTACTGTTTCATCTAGCCAAGGAAAAGACAAGAAAAGCCCTTTTTTTTTTTTTTTTTGGTGTAGAATAGAAGATGGAATATGAAGTTAGATAACTCTACACGTCACATGGTAGATCTAGGAGAAGCAAAAACTGGCTGGCAAGGTTTGACATGCCTATTTATGCCAAACTAATTACAGAAAAGATAGAAAGGAATCTCGATCTCTCTTCTCAACAAAATGGTATTAACTACTCCTCCGATCTAGTTAAGCATCACTAATTCACCGTGCAGGCCTCATTCCATCTAAAGAGCTGTAAACTTCTGACCACTTATATCAAACTCTGTTAGTTAACAATTGCTTGAAACTAATTCAATGCAATTACTCATGCAAGACAAAACCATAGTCCTTACCTTAGTGAGATCGAGAATGTTATCCTTGTTGACATTTGGAGTTATTTTAATATCACCGTCTTATTCCCTATGATGAGAGCCTGAATTTAATTTAGGAACACTTAGTAGTCATCCACTGAATCCTCAACTGAAAGTCTTTCCTCGCAAAAATTCATATAGGGCAACTAAGGATTGCGACTGTAATTCTAGCAACATGTTTCATACTTCTCTTTGAAACTTTCTTTTCTTTGAAATGCAGGATCGAGTGGAGTTAAGAACCCATAAATAGATATATTCTTAAGGCTCAACTCAGCTCAGTTGACTTATGAGCAAAATCAATAAAAAGAGAGAGAGAGAGAGATTTAGGTCACAAATTTGAAAGTGCTTGATTACGTCACCTATCAATCACCTCACTATCTTAAATTACTCTAGTGGTGCTAAATTACTAACATCCTAAAGCACCGGCCCAAATCATCTCGTTTAGGGTTCAGCATGAATTTGGTGATGGAATATGCCAACATCTACAGGCTGACAGGCTAACAGCAGCCCTTGATTTATTTCAACATGAGATTAGCCATGATTATCAGATTTTATGCAAGTATGAGTTGGCTGTCAGTGTGAGGTACTACTGGAAGCAGACGTGGGTTATTTAAAAATTAAAATGCTCTTAAAGCTTTCAATTGATAATGACTTTAAGGCTACTCTATCAACCCTACCAAGTTAGGTTCACACCTCTGATATCTCTTGCAATCCCTCACTTGTCTTATGAAGTAACTAGTTAACTAACACTTGTTCACCAAACCTAAAACAACCTAGAACAATTGAGACAAGAAGTCTACATCTACTTCTGTTAAGCGAAGAATGTTTGATCGCTTACCAAAAAATTCAATGATATCGACAGCCTAGGACTCTTCCTGAGGAAAAAACCAAGCAACCCCAATGATAAACTAAGAGCCGGATGTGATAAGCAATAGAGTTTTATTTTATGAGATTCAATTGTTCAACCCAGTTAAATTTATATTCTGTTACATGCCAAAGATTTTTTGTATGCCTTTGATAAGTTTATTGATAAAAGTTGGATGTTTCAGTGCCCCTTTCAAGTTCAGTGCTTTTCAATTTGCAATTCCTACAAATTTATATTTCTGGTGGAAATTCAGCAGTTCAATTGCTGATTATTATGCTCAACTTATGAAACATGAAATAAAAGATGCATATTCACCACCGCATATGATGGTGGATGGTGTAAATTTACCGATACTCCACAAACACTGATGTTGTCCTTGGGGGCACAGTGAAGCACCCTGTGGATGTCTCATATGATGAGTTCTTCACAACTTCATCAGCTGATGCAACCTGCAACAAGATTCCCATAAAGAAAACAAATTATACACCAACGGAAATTAACAGCCAAATGAATGAATTGTGAGGGGAAAAAATTTGCATGGAACAAAAAATAGGGGCATCATTCCTTTCATATTTTTCAATGTCAGTGCAACTTAAACATCAGTATTTTCTATAATCTCAGAAATGGCCACCCTAAATTTATCCTATCTAGTCCACAGAGAGAGAGAGAGAGGGGGGGTGGGGTGGGGTGGGGGTGGGGGAGAGAAAGCAGGAACTTCATGCTTCTATTAAGTGTTATTTGGAGAGTTCCATAGAAAGCTAGAACAGCAGTCTTCTTTCCCAAAAGAACTTCAGAAGCCAAGCTTCTACTTAAACAAGAAATAATACCTGTATAGGATGCAGCAGAAAAGTTCTTCCCCGAAGTACAGGACTGGCAAACAATACCTCAGATGGACTAGCATTGAAGATCACCACAATGTACGAGTATCTGTAGAATAGGTCACGCAACTATCAGTAATTATATAGTTTGGAATCATAGCAGAAGCAGTAATATATATTCACCCACATGGGATCCAGTTGAGTTAATCCTGGAACACCTCCATGGCCATCTTCGACACTCATCACTATAACACCAGGGACCCATGAAGGACCAGTGTTGTGGAATCGTACCCGTGCCTGAAAGTGTCATAAGAATATGCTCACTACTAATTCGATACGCATAACAAAGACAGGAAAAGTCGGAAATCCAGAAGAAAGCATTAGAGAGTTTTGGAGAAATTTCATCGTCCTTGGAGAAAAAGTAGATAATGCTTTTAGTTTGAAAACAAACAAAAGTTATAAGCACTAAAAATGTAGGAAAAGAAAGAAGGATGAAAATATCATGAAAAATAGTATGGGAGTGATTATAGAATATACTGAAAGTTGTGGAATAATTAAGGAATAGCATTTTAGCATCAATTCAGTTCTAGCTTGCAAAGTTTTCAAGATCATGCAGCCCATAGGCATTTGATCAACAGCTGGTCTGAATATCAAGACAGAAATGGAGAACATTGCCAGCTATTTATTTAGAGCCTAAATATGAAACTTTCCTCCCTGTAACTTTCCAAGACTAACTACCTGAAAAATGTATGGGAAACTTCATTCCACACCTTTTGGACCTTAATTCCATGCATATGCAAGGCCACTAAATAGAATAAATCTTGTAGAGACTATATGCGTAGAAACTGAGGACCTTTTTGCATGGAAAAAGGCTTTCCCATAAGTGTAAAGGTCGAGGGACCCTAAATGACATGGATAATGAAAATGAGCCACATGTTCAAAGTTGGGGTCACTCTATCATGGTCCTTCCAACAATCCATACAATCAAAAGATGGTATATACAAGGACAACCCAGGTCAAGTTGAACCTGTTTAAAGTTCAGGTAATTGAACAGTCAAATGTCAAGTTCTGTCGCATGAGGTTTCTCTGAGGTGTGGGAGGATTGAAATTAAGGTTCCAATAAAGAGCAAGAAGAGACCAACTGCAAAAAGGACCCTTTTGTGGCATAGGCAGTGTTCATAAACAAACCGTTAAAAATGTTTAATCCCAAAACAATCACAATTCAGAATGTTATACATGAAAGTTCTTACCTGAATGGCATTAGCTGTCGTCAAACGAAAAAGTGGAGATGAATATCGGATTTGTAATACATCTAAAAAAGTATTGATAGCAGCAAGGATATGACTCTTCTGAGGCTTGAAGGATGGATCTGCCAATCTTGGTCTAATTCTGAGGAAAACAGATATATCCAGATTTTCAAGAGAAATGTTGTGTTAGATGCCCTAGAGGACAAACCGTGAAAAGCAGTTATATATATTATAATAGCACATTGTAGAGGAAACAAATTAATCAATACAACTAGGTACATCGAATCACATGATAAGGATTATGAACACTAAATCCTTGCTTACAATGGCCAGTTCTTTTCATTTTTCTGCTTTGGAGGAAGGCCAACACCCCAGTTGTTGGAATTGTAAGTGAAATCTAGCCTGAAATTAGTTACAAGCAAACCAAGGAACATTACAGGCAGCAACACATAACAAGAAAAATACGAATGGAATCTACAAACACAAAGTTAAATAACATGCAATATTACCATAGTAACAAAAATTATAATTAATTAGCAGATAAAATTGGAGTCAGATAAATTAATTGAGAAAGCAACTTGAAAACAAGAATAACCGAAGACCTGTTGAACCAATCACCAGAGTTGTAAGAATCACGATCAAGCGATTTTGAGCGTAGCATCTCATCACCTGAGTGGAAAAATGGTATCCCCTTAAACAACCAAAAAACACTGTCAAGTCGTCATAAGATAACAAGTACTGAGCAAAGGGAACATTAAACATGATAATGTTTCATGACTTGATGTAGTTTGCATCTTTTACTTGCTATCTTCCTTTTTTCTATTTTCTTCAGAAACAGAAGAGTAAAGTGGGAGAAAACAAAAAACTTCAGTATTTGCAAATACAGATAACAAACAATAATTGGACAGGAAAACAATTTGGGAGTCCTGTAAAACAGGTTGCAGGATTTGGTTGCAGTTGAAGGTATTAGCCTGATTGTAAACACATCCAGTGTTGAAAGGAACCCAAAATTCTAACCAGCCCCGTTAACGATTCATAGTATAAAAGCTTCCACCATTTTCGAACGCGTTGAAGATATTATTAATACAGTAACTAAAGAGCATCAGTCATTACAGATAGAATTTTTTTTAAAAAAAAAAAAAATCTCCTGCTTTGGAACTACTTTTTCTTACTACCACCCTAATAAAAAACAAAGTACATTTATTATACTCATGATGAAAATAATACAATTTTATTAATTTAAATCGTGAAAATACATTGCTAAACAACAAATGACGTGAACTCTACCTGTGACAATGCTATTGCACTAGTTGCCAAATGATTTAATCTGCATCTCTCATCTACAGAAATTTCCGTTGGAGTCTACAGTAAGGAGCTGAGTTAAGCAGCGTCATATATACTACGATTGTGAAACAACATTGGGTCTACTAGAAATGGCTAAAATCAAACACTCTGAAAACATATTGACCATACCTTCATGCTCACAACGTCAAATAGGGTTTCATTGTCATGAGCAGAAACATAATTAATCTGAAAAACAACCAAAAAAGTTGATAACCAGGTTTAGGCAAACCTTATCCTTATCTGATGGAGATGTAGTGACAGTGGTGATAATTAATATTGAAAACAATGATGAGATCAGCAGCAAAACAAACACTGACAGAGGGAAGTGCTAATGTATGATTCAGAGTCTAAATAATTCCAAACAAGTATTTACATGATACATGTCTAGCCAGTGATGGGATATAATGGTTGCCAGGTAACATATGTAAGGAATTCCTTCAGTAATAGCATTATGGCAACCCAAAGAGTATGTGTCTTGAGTGATGTTTCATATGTATTCCTATTGCATCATCTCACAACAAGATAAAAAGTTATAAACATAATCACGGATGCTACGGTCCTTACTGTTTCTGCAGGGTGTAAAGCGTATCCAACAGGAGCCCCACCATAAGTTAAAACTTCCAGCCCTTTTACCTGCCAAAAGCATTATAACAAAAATTTTAAGGTTAGCCAATCTCCAAATTATAGGCAAGGAAATACCCAATAGAGACCCATTAAAAATATTTACCATAAATGCCTTATCTATTGTATGCTTGAGAGATGAGGGTGGAATCAATATTTTATGTACTTTCAACATTTGGAGAAGCCAATTGAAGATTGCTTAATTATTCATATTAACCATCTGGTTGAACCAATAAGTCTAGATACACAATATAAAATATTCAACAGCAAAATAGAGCTCTGCACTGCAGGACCATGTATACCTCTTTCCCATCACTATTGGTCAGTACAAAATCCCTCAAATTTGCAGCCATCCCAACCTGGACAACATGAAATCAATCAATTAATGAAATCATGAATTAGGATCATTGACTGACCCAAATGAACTTATTGGTTATCAAAAAATGAGTTAACTAAAGGTTTGATAATGAGGGTGACAGAAAGATAAATCTACACAAGCCCAAAGAGGCTTCCTGGTCCTCATCTGCCCAACAAATCTAATGCTTCAATGAAATGGGCCATTCGGTGATCAGCAATTTAAAACCTTTCTTTTTTCCTCGTAGTTTCAACCAATAACAGGGTAAAAATTTGGGGAAAAAGTTCATATTTGTTGCTATTTCTAGTCTAGCGATATCTCAAGAACGCTTTAATTTTCTATATATCAGTCGCATATTTTCCAATGCAAAGCAAAAAGAGCACTTAACTGAATCTTTATGCTTAAGCTTTTATATGGAGTGCAGCTGATAGATCCATAGCATTTTTAGTTCAAGCAAAGCATTGAGTATTGTAAATATAGCTTCATTTTAAATTTTCCATGCTTGGAAGAACATTGCTGAAGTCACCATGTTGCAAGCCCATCAGATGAACATAGGGACAGCATTAAGATTAACTAACCTGGATGTGATCTTTTGCCGCAGAAAGCATGAGTTCTTCAACATCTTTTCCACCATGATCATGGCCATTAGGCTACAGAAGAATCGATTACTATTTAGGAAAGTTGCTGTAACCATAAATATACAGGAATTGAAAGACTGTACAGTAATACACCCTCACAAACTAAAAGCAAATTCATCCAATTAAGCATTTCCAGAACAAGTGCTGCCAATTCAAGATGTAATACAGACAAACTACACAACAAATGCTGTAAATGGTTTGGTTAACCAAAGGACTTTTAAGGAAAAACAAAGACCACCTAGTGTGACAGCTGAGTTCAGTATAAAAATATTTCTATTTGAGCTCCTCTTTCAAACTTTTGAAACTGAATCCATATATTCTCCAGAAATTGCAAAAGAAAGCAACTATTTTTCCTAGAATAGTCAGTCAACATCAGAAGGATTTAAATTCTCTACATATTGCGACAGAATTGGCATATGATCGCACAGAATCGCGCAACAAAATCCATATAGCTGACCCCAGCTAGTTTGGGATTGAGACTTGGTTGTCGTCCTTGTTTTAGTCAGTCAACATCAGACCTTTGTACAACCTAACAAAACAAACCCTTAGCTAGAAAAAAGGCCGTCAGGTCATAGGTCAAAAGTGGCATGATGGTTCGACCAGCAAACATGCAACAAAATGTTTCCAGATGTAAAGTAAATTTTTTTTCAGAGATACAGAACAACAGAATAGGGGAAGAAACTTCTACATGAAACCAAAAAAAAAATTAATTTTAGGGAAACCCTAGTGTAAAGATGTTAAAATTTTAGCTATAAAAATGATTTTTTCTTTGCAGCCAACAAATATTTCTTTGGAATTGTCAGCAATTGTAACCATGAAAATTTTATTGCTTTTCCATTAACAACGATTACCTGCAACATTAGCCCAGTCACAAATCCTTGCTGGAGAGGATGGCCAAATGGAGATCCCCCAAGCATTGCATCCCGAATTCGATCATTGAAACTGAAATTGCATTTCCCAATATTTCATGAAACCAAAGTGCTTCCAAAAACTAATCAAACTTAAATCACTAAAGTGAGAAGATGAGGTCCTGTGCAAATTACGAAAATCAAAAGATAACTTCAGGAATTGATACTGGGTAAAGCCAGTTCTAAGGCTTCAACTCACATAAAAGAATTGTAAACTTTACTTTTCTCTACCAACAAGTGGTTTCTGATAAATTAAAATCAGTTCCAAGAAGCAATTGAGGTTGGTACAATTCTTTCAGCAGTTACAAGATCAACCATGCGATGTTGACAAAAGGAAAATGCCTGTATATTATCCATTTGTCTGAAAATTTGCTTTTTGGCAGAGGAAGTAGCTATATATTATAAAATCTAAAATAACAGACAGTACCTTCCAATTCCAGTCCCACCAATATTGAATTGTGAAGCATTTATCCCACGTCCATTGTTAGCAACTTCACCAAAGTCCCAGCCTTCACCATACCTATATAAACAGAAGGGGTCAATCAGCAGCATATGCCCTGGACATGTGTATTGGAAGCAACAAACAATTTTCCAGATGCTCATCCAAAAGAAAGAAGAAAACAAAGAAATATGGTGCACTAACAGTATAACTCGTAAAGTTTATGGCAGGTAAAAACAAAATCACTTCATTATCCAAACCTACATATAGACACTTGAACCATCAATTCCATCTCTTTCCTTTGTTAGCCTGTTGACTGCATCTTTTGCTTTCACCTACGCACAAATAACAAAGGTTGAGTAGCATGGCTCTTGTTCTGTGTCGGCATGATCCAATAAAAACTGCTTGAGTACATCAAATTCAATACAAGTTTCAGCTCCTAGAACTGTTTAGCATGTCAAAGAATCCATGCATCACAAAAAGAGAACTCTATATAATTTGTTCTACTTCTGGGTCCAACTACAGAGCAACTCATTTCTCTTGATAATGACTTATGTGGCAGGCTAACAGAAAACATGTTAGTTAGCAACTTGATATAGCTCCTAAACATGTCAAGAGGAAACTACAACATTACTATTACAAGAATTTCTCCATATCAAATAATTTTTGTCAAATGGTATAAAACTTTTTATGTAAAAAGTGAAGACACGGAATAAGAGAGTCACATACCATTGTACTTTTCATTAGATGACCCATAAGGTCAAAACGAAACCCATCAACCTGACAAAATGGCATACAATGAACTATCATCAACTTAAGAAAAACACATATTGAAATTCCAACGGATGGAAAAATGCCTAAAATTCATAAGCTCTACCTTAAGCCAGCAACAAATCAATACATGAACTTAGAGGATTACCATCACTTATTATAGAAAGAGAAGGAAAGTAGATTTCAAAATATAAGAGGAAGAGAAGCCAAATCAATGTATGTAAAAACAAAATGACATCATAGAGCAAATAACCACCTTATAATTAGCTACCCAGTTTAAAAGATCATCGATGATCAACCGCTCAACCATATAATGCTCACTAGCAGTGTTATTCACACATGTACTATGCTCGATAAACCCATCAGTGTTTCTTCTCAGATAATAACCTGGAACAATCTACACGGAAAACTTGTCACAACAGGAGCCGGGCCTAATCTTCCAGAATAATTAATTTTCTCTGTAAATTAATCCTACAACCACAAGTAATATTAGAAAAGCATAGTTGGACTGGATATTAAAAGAATAATAACTATAAAAACCTTGTCAAGAACAGAATTCTCATCAAAGGGCCCATTTCCATGCAAATGATTGTAGACAACGTCCAACACAACACGAAGGCCAATAAGGTTAAGTGCCTGCAAAATGGAAAAAGACTAAATTACAAGAAGATGGTTAAGCATTAACTAAGTTCATTATCTGCACCATCAAAGCAGTATACCAGTGGTCCATGCCACAGATATTTTTTAAAAAATATTGGTTGCCCTCTCATAAGGAAGACATGGATAAAATGCATTAGAAACAGAATAAGGAAGCCAGACCTGAACCATCTTTCTGAACTCCATTGTGCGGCATGAACCACTTGGGTTACTTGCATAACTTCCTTTAGGAACCCCCCATAGAACAGGATTGTACCTCCATGAGGAAAAAGAAACAACAAAACTGTTATAACATGAAGACACAATTATCTTGATAATATTTGTCCAAGTCAGCATTTGGGAGCATACCCCCAGTTATACCCATCGTCATCTTGGATTGATGTGATCTGAGTTTGTTGCTCAATTGAATCCGGGGGTAATTTTTCCAGCATTGTGCTATCTGCAGAGTGCGTAAATGTCATACAAATGGACGATAGCCGACACATGATAGCACATCTAATTTCAAAAATGAGTTTAACCAAATTACGCACATCAAAAAATTTAAACCATTGTGCTGAACTAAGATTGTGGCAATCCATCAACTGCATTAGATGTGAAAGCACATAATCACAAGAATATGATCAAAGAAAAAATGCTTACCCACACACTTCCAATTCTCCTTGACATCATCAACACCAGCAAATTGAAAGCTAGGCAGCAAATGGACATGAGTGATGCCAGCATTTGATAATTTCTTTAGATGAAGTACACCTGCTGAATCCTTCAAGCAGAATATGCTTACCAGTGTTAATTATTGCAATATCGTATCAGTACTTCTACTATGTAAAACAATTGAACAAATTTTTTAGTTTTGAGAATGGTAGATTCCAATATTAGGGTTCAAAAGAGCAGACCTACCTCCACAGTGAAGGCCAGATAACCTCCCTGAAAGTCAGGATGCACAGTGTTATCATTGGCACTGAAATAGGGACATAGAATTTTAGAAGGAACAAAAACCTACAAACAGCAGCATGTCATCAGAGCAATTAAAACTTTCAGGTAACTCTTTTTCTAGCAAATAAGCCTGAAATTTGATTTTTTTTTCCCATTTCCTTCCAGAAATCCAACACTGAAGATGAGCCAGATTAAAAAGCCATGACTCAAGGAAAATAGTTTATTTACCTGAAATCCCTTATATGCAACTCATAGATACTTATGTCAGAGAAAGAAAGTATACTGGGTTTTTCGTCAGCTAATTTATCCCATCCTTCAGGTTTTAAAGTATCCGAATAAAGATCCACAAATAATGTCCTCTGGCTATCTGGTGAGAGCCTGGTCTAACAAAGAAACAGCATAAAATCAGAGCAATTTCACATCTGTATGCACAAAATACAGATGCAAATATATTAGAATGATTAGCAATGCTACATAATTTCAGAGTATGCAAACAACTTGATTATTTCAGAGAATTGTTGGCAAAGTGAGACAGCCAGTATACCCTCTAGCATATGGATCGTTTGCATAGCATTTTTCAATGCGTAAGGTGCTAGGATGGTAGACAGAGACTTCATAGACATAATAAAAACCTTCCCAGTCTTTTGGTCCTGCAACAATCCAAACTCCATTAACCTCCTTCAACTGAACAACTTCCATGGGATCCCTGCTGTCTGTATCCTTGTAAATACAGGCACAAACTGCCTATTTGAAGCCAAAAAAGAAAAAAAAACATGACTTATCATGCAGAAGAAGACAGTTTGATAGAAAACAAACAAAACATAAAGAATCTGTTTCAAAATGTCATATACTTGAGCAGTGGGAGCCCATAGGTAGAGGGACACAGCATCTTCTGAATAATGCGCACCGAGTGGACCATCATATGCAAACAATTCATCCAGAATACCAGGTAACTGCAAACCAGTAACATAGCTGCAGTTCCCATCAGCTGCCAAAAGCAAGAGAACACAATATCATGAAAATAACCATATAACAATGAAAGCATTACATCAATTCAATATACTCATAAAATAATCCCTAAATGCGTTTAAAACAAATAACCCAATACCCATTCCGCTACAAAAATCGCAAATATAATGACAATACTAAACAAAACGAACAGAACGCAATGCAATATCAAGCAATTAAGTGCTAAGCTCACGTTTGTAAACTAAATTCATGTACATATTTACAATCATCTTCAGGTCCAGACCAACAACGAAAGCACGTTATGCATTGAATCTCCTAGAAACAAACAAGCAATGAACAAAAAACTTACAGCCAAATGTCGCGACGGCTAACTGGCATTTAACAAGTGATTTGACGTCCACAGTTGAAGGCACTTTCAAAGCTTTGTAATCTCTAATGTGAGGAAATTTCACAATCACCTAAAATTTTCCAAAAAGAAACCACTCAATTGTTACCCTAACTAACTACTACTCTTCAGAAATACAAAAATAAGCCTTACATTCTGTGGAAGGCCGCAGCTGCCTTCTTCAAGCTTAATTTTGAAATCATGACCTTCAACTTCACTTTCAGTAACGGATAATGCAGCGGTCTCACTAGCGTATAAATAGCAAGAATCGTCTCTAACAACACCAGCATCACACGCGATTATAGACTGAGTTACCCAAAACGCGCTTGAACTTAACAAACTGTCCTGTAACAGAATCAAAATTTTCAAACGAAATCATAATCAAGATTTCAAGTCTCAAAAAAATAAATAAATAAATTAGTTAGTTAGAGAGAGGAACCTGAGAAGAGGAAGTGGAGACTTCTAGAGGCATTGAAGAAGAGGAGCAGCGAATGGAGAGTTTACGCGAGGTTATTGAGAGGAAAGGAAGAGAGAGATGACGGTGGTGGAGGTGGTTTGGTTTTGTATTGAGACGGCGTCGTGGAGAACGAAGTGAAGGAGAGAAGTGACCGTTGGAATTTGAAGGAATCGGTGGTGACGAATATGAGAGAAGGGAGAGAAAAGGAGAGGAGAGCGTAATAGGCATGATGGGAAACGGAAAATGAGAGTAAGAAATTCAGTGAATATTATTACTATTTTCATCCGGTTTCAGATGATTTTTTATCCTTTTTCTTTTTCCAACTTCTTTTGATTGTTATCTAAGATCTTATCTTAAAAACTAAAAATGTGAGTAAATTATTAATTAGTCCCTTGAGTTTTGCAACATAAATAAAATAGTCTTTTTTCAAAAACTAATTATTCAGTCTCTAAATCAGAGTTCATCATTATTAATTTAATATTAATTTATTCTAAAAATATTTTATTTTCTCATCAATTTTTCTATACTTATTTATTTATTTTTTATTATTTTATTTATTAAAAACTAATAAATTAAAAAGAAAAAAATATTAAATTATAAATAGATATAAAAATATAGGGACTAATTAACTAGTTTCTGAAACTATAAGAAATATTTATTTCGTTTCGGAGAGCGAGCTGTAGACAGATATTTATAGCCCAAACCAAAAATGGAAAGTGGGCCTAGACCCAAATTTTGAGCACGTTTGTAGGACACTTGAAAGCCCTAAAAAGGCTTTACTAGATAAATTTAATGACCCATATGATCATCATGCCTCTAATTTCTGGCCTTTGGACTTTAAAACTTCCCAATTCGCAGAAATTATCAATTACTCCAGGTGAGAATTTATTATTCAAGCACATATGGAGTTAAATTCTTTGGTTTTTTTTTTCACAAGAAATGAAGAAAATGGGATCAATGACAAAAAATTATCATTGGCCTCTTTTTTATAAGAGAGAAGAAATGTAAATAACTTGTATTTATCTAATTATTTTTATTCTCAATAAAATCGCAGTTTTATTAATTAATATGAATTGATCCACCTATGATCCTAAAATTTCTAATCTGGTTTTGGATGAATAAATCTCTTGAAAATTTAATGTGGAATCTAATGATGATTTCATTAATCCAATCACTCTTTTATTTTTAAAATATTTTTTATAGGTTTTTTTTTAAAAAAAATTAAGTATTGCTTCAAGCTGGCGATTTTTTTTCTTCATAGATTAACATTATTCAAAATAAAGTGATAATGTTCTAGTCTGTTTTTATATAAAAATATCAGTATCCAATCTTCTTTTGTATTTTAAAATAAGCCAATTATATTTTTGTATTTTAAATGGATTTTCAATCTATTTTTTTGTTAATTTTTTTCAACAAAACCACCGAAAAAATCAAATGACTTGCATATGCTCATGTGTGCAAGTCGCTTTTATTAGGAGCATTTTTAGTAAAAAATTAATAATCATGTGATTTTTTTAAATAGTTTAGCCGGAAAAATTCACAAAAAAATTATTAAAAACTCACTTATAGAGACATAATTAACTCTGTACATTAAACATTAATCTTTTTATATAAAAATAGACTAAACAATTTCTCATAAAACAAAACGCATGGATTCCTTTAATAGGATGTTAAGAAACCTTCTAGCACGTACGGTTCAACCCTGATCTATATGAAAGAGGAAAAAAATTAGGAAACTGAATTTGTTTTATACTACAAAACACTTGGAAAAAAATGGCCAAAACAGTCGAACTGTCTCTTTTCCTGCATTTTTTCATGACAAAACTGCGTGCCATTCACATTGTTCATCATTACAAGGGAGTGCATGCGGTTTCCTGACATAATATCCCATGCCTTCTGTTTGTTTAAAAAGTTGACAAATTTAGTGGACGAAGGATCTAAAGCTGTCCTGTGGAATTAAGTCAGAACCCAAGAAATTTTGCTGAGCAGTTTTACTTAACAAACCTAATTTACTTTCAGAATATCCAAAACTTTATATGAAGGAGTGTCTTTAATCATGTCGAGGTATACGAAATTTAGTCCAAAAACAATTTTGCTATTGAAGTAAAAAAAATCGGAAACTACAACAATCTGTCATCTTCATACCCTCATTATTAAACCAAAAAAATAAAAAATCAGAAAATACAACAATCTGTCATCTTCATACCCATATGAACTGTCTGGCAGTCAATACGGGTGTTAAGCCAATGCAGAAATCTAAAATCTGGTTTAAGATTAGCTTGGTCTAGTTGTTAAGAGACCAAGCATATATTCCTTTTAATGCCAAGCTAGTGTTTTGTTTTTCTTTTTCTTGTTAGTCTCAATTAGCTGTAAAGACCGTAGAATTGTCCAATCTTAAGTCTTATCCAGTAATTTGCTACTTAAGTTGATCTTTTGCAAAACGTGTGGGACCAAATTTGCGAAACATACAATAATCCCATGCATGTGCAATACATCATGATGGTGATAATGGTCATAGAAAACCAACACCCATGAAATTTCTTCGGTCCCTAGATTTTTCATTGACTTGATGCGTTAGCAGTCTAAAGCAAAACCATGACCTATGACCATGTCTTCTCTTTGCATGTGAAAGCAGCCGTAGTTTTGAGGAATCCATACCCACTTTTAAGATTAACTAAGCAAGCCGTTGTCTTGTCAATTGGAGGGTGGTAACTGGTACCAGACACTTCTTGAGAAGTAAATCGGTGTTTGTATTGGCTTGCCAGCCATGAATATGATTTTGGGTTACCACACCTTCTACTAGAAACTCTTTCTTAAAAGTAGTGAGATATTTGACTAAATTCATTATTTTTTTTAGTTATATTAACTTCAAAAACACTTAATTTTTTATCGATTAAACTTGATCCGATTAAAAAATAATTATAATTAATTATTAATAATTATAATTAATTATTAGTAGATAGTAGAAATTAAATATTATGTTTTTATCAAATTAAAGCAATTTTTTTTTTATAGCTAAACCACATCTACTAGTGGTGATAACATTCAGACATCGTTATATATTGATAAATAGGTTTATCCTTATTAAAGAATTTTAATTTGTAGTTTTATTTTTTATTTTTTTCAGATTAAGAAAAAAGTCATCTAGTCAATGAGAAAACAGAAATTAAAGAATAGAAAAAAAAAAAAAGGACTGTAATCAAGTAACATAATTTTTTTCATCTATCTACTCTTAACTAAACTATCTACAATCACATCATCATCTCTATTAATTCAACTAAAATCAATTGAATTCAGATTACGGATATAAGAATTTATATTTATAAAAACATCATGCCTTCTTCAAGGAGTTTCATTACCAAAATAATTTGTAATTTATTCTGGGCTATGGTCCCCTCAATACCAAAAAGAAAATAACAACAACAATAATAATGAGGCTTACTACAGGAACTTTAGCATAATTAGATGAATAATTGCCTAGCTAATGCACAGTTCATGACCATGATGAGCCTTGTAGATATCATTGTTGCTCTTTAATTGGTCTAGCTCAAAGAGTTGGTCATGATGGTGGGTCTAATTAGAGGCAATTGTAATGGCAGACACTCTCCATGGATATTAGGTGTGCTTCATGGAAAGGGAAAAATCTGTGGGGAGATTATTTATATGATTACTTGTCCTGGTCATACTGAACATCATTTTCTTTACTTTTAACCCAAAAGCAAAAGCATGAGGAAATAACATGAGAACCACTAAGAATTTGGCTACATGGGGCATAGATTGTTGCAAAATTTGTGTCAAAGAAAGGAAATATATTGATATAAAATTTCCCAGCTAACATGGAGAATTCAGTACCCTTTTTCACATTATACAGAACTCAAGTCTCTATCTAACTGTCTAGAGAAGTTAGAATCATTAATTTCGATGGCAAAAGTAGTTTACAAATTCCAAACTGATCGATGCATGATAGCTAGGCCATCCATTTCATGCTGATTTCCTTGTCATGCTTGACAGAATGAAAAGGATGGATGCACTACAGTTCTAGAGATCAATTACGTGTAAAAACTAAAGTTTTGGTCAATGGAGGACAACTTTCTGATACTTGTTGGTAGGGGAAGAAGAATCAGGACCTTCACAGAGCTCTAGATCCCTCTTCTTGCTCAAACAAGAAGTGAAACTGTTGACAGAGTCTTGGTGTATTAGCCGAGCTGTTGGTGAAGAAATAGTTACCGGTGGGATATCAATGGAGTCTAATTGAGGAGGTGGGTGCTGCCATTGAGGGAGTGGTCCAGCCAGGAGAAGGGTCTGGAGGAGTGGACCGGCTTCCTTCACTGCCTGCAAGAGTTTCCCTTTCTCCGGCAGTGGCTTGTCAGCTACTAACTTAAGTATCACTTCTGGAAGTGATGACTGCAATGGTTGCTGGGGAATTGGATCACTAGACTGTGAGGGAACAGTGACTTTGCTAGAATCAGGAGAGCTGATGTGATTGTTGGAGTCACTAGCCTTGGATTCATCTTCACTGCTGCAAGTTCTAGTGAGTGAAGCAGATTCTTGCTTCAACTGCAGCATTTCCTGCTTCTGATGCTGCTGCTGCTGGTTTTCCTGCTGGTTTTGTGTCAGTTGTTGTTGGAGGGCTAGTTTGTCCGAAACTAGTTTCTGGCATTGTATCTGGGCCTCATTTTTTTCCTTAATTGCCCTGCTTAAAAGATCTTTGAGATGGAATATCTCAAATTCTCTTCTTGTGATCTCCTCCTTCGCTGATACAATTGCTGCTTCCAGTTCTGTAGTGTACAAGAGATAATGCCTCAAGTCTTCAATCCCCTGCAGTCAGCAAAAAGAAGTTAACAAACATCTACATTAGTCTAAAAACAGAACTGGACCCAAGAAAGTGCTCAAGAATACCTGTTGATAGCTCGCCTCGTCTTGATAGAAGCATGACCAGTTAAGAGGACTACAGTGATCTTCCATTTTTCTTTCTCTATTGTCTAAATCAGTTAAAGGGATGGATGTCTTGAGAGGACTAGAGAATGGGAGAGGAGGCAACTTCTTATAGGAACTGAATTCGCTAGGTAAGTAAGGTAGATGAGTCTGTTTACTTTCCTTTTATTCTCTCTTTTGCTTTATTTTCTATCATGGGACAAGCGGTTGGACAAAATATGCACTAAAGGCCAAAACCATGAAAAGGGCCAAAAAAAAGGCAGGTAAAATCTTTGTGCCCTTAGTTTTTATGTAGACAAAGGAGTACTACTGCTACTTGAGGAGTAAATGTGGATTGCAGTAAAAGTGGCCGCTAAAAATTTTCTCCTGATATAGCCCTCTTTTTTAACTACAAAAGAGCTGCAGAGGGCAAGCACAGTGAACTCACGTGCGGAAGTGAAAGTAAAATTTAAGATGATACTGAAACAAGTGCTTGATCTGTCCCCTTAAATAGAACAATCATCAGAATACAGTTCCTGAAAGCAATAAATAATTTGCAGACCAATTTACAAAAATCTATCCTACCCCTTTAACTTCTTTGTAATTTTTAAGTTAAAGGGCGTCATTCTCCCCATTTTATCTAGAATTAAAAAAAAAAAAATTAAAAATCTCTGCCACCAATTGATTTGGTATTGATTGAGTTTAGTCTCAGGCGTGAATTGTAGAATGTATATCTTCAAGTCAGATTTTGTGATATCTTTGATCATGTAAAGGGGAAGTCCAACATGAAGAATGATTAAAGCCATCCGATCTTAAACTTTTTTCTTTGAAAGTATATACCCCTATATATCTCTTTTTGACTCTTACAGGAGTACAAGTACATAGGTTACTAGTTATTATACTTTTCTAACAATGGTGGCTAAATGCTATCTTACTTTAGATTATAGGATCTAGCAAAAGAGCTCCATAAAAAGATCATGGGAATGATTTCATTCCCATCAACACGGATCGACCTAAATAAATCACAGATTTAAAATTAGGGACAAGTATCAAAATGGATCAAAATTGTCAGGAAGTGAAACCACATTTTTTAGCCTAATCACACTACAATATCGAAGCATGGCAACTAGATAAGCAAGCATTTTGATCCAGTTCAAATTCTGACATGACCCTTCAAATTTTGTCTTGGCAAAGACCAGAAGAACTAAATGTCGAAACCGTTCTTTCTTTCTTATCCCACTTGAAATCTTGTCTTTATGCCTCTCTCTCTCTCTCTCTCTCTCTCTCTCTCTGATCACACACACACACAGAGAGACGAATATATCAGTCAGAAAAAGAAGCTGAACCGAAAAATTGTTGTGGGCAAAGACGAAAATGGTAGGGTCCTGAGTTCTTTCTTGCATGTCCTTTTAGACGAAGTTATCCTTGAAAGGAGAAGAGGATAAGCGGCTTCCAATTTGACCAATCCAAAATAAGGCACTGTTTAGGAGCAAAAATGCCTTCCTTTGTCTGCCTCCAACACGTTATGTTGCATCTGACTCACATGTATACGTACATGCAACTTCATTCTCAGTATAGAGGATTTGTCTTTTAGGTTTGTGGGGTCTCAAGTGGTGCAATTGCCACCGGACACATCACGACATGCTTTTCGTTTCTTAAGCATTGAAATGATGAGAACCGCCTAATTGCCATGTTAGGGTTCACGGCGTCTTGCATGGGAGAAGTAGAACAACTAATTAATTGCATGTTACCTAGCTAAAGAATTGTATGAAAGGAGAAGAGTCTAGTCCTCCGTAGGTTTTGTGTAACATATGAAAAGGGCAATACAAAACCAAATAAACCCAAGATTGAAAAAAAAAAAATCAAACTTCAATGGAATTGGTGGTTTAGGCTTTGTCTTGTTCACAATTGACTTGAGGTATGAGAAGTTCTATAGTTATGATATGAACGCATTCAATTCGTTGGTTGTGTATTCGTGAAATAAGGTTTGAATGCTAATTAACGATTTTCAATTTATTTGATGATTATATAATGAGAAAAGAATATTTTTATTAACTAATTCAAAATTTATGAACCTTCCAATAAACAAAATGACAAACAATTAATAATTATGTTTAAATTTCATTTTGAACCTTTTTTATTTTGTGGTAGGGCATACATATTTTTTGAGGACAAGGACACAATTATATTGAAAATTCCATGTCAACAATAAAAAACACAAGATCGGTTTTTTATACATATCTCATAAACAATTTAAAAATCAAGAAAAAGAAGTGAATTCAAAGTTCCCTCCCTCTATATTATATTGCTTTTTAAAAAAAAAATTATAATAGTAACCTTTTTGAATCTAATTATTTTTTCCCTTTTCCCTCTTCGTGCACAAACGCGGTTTTGAGCTGTGGAAAATGATGTGAAAATCAGCTTCTTTTTGTCACCTCTTTTTCTATTTGCATGTGAGACGGTGATACTTGCTGGACCCATATGTCACAATTTTTCTTTTTTCCATCCCTTTCTTTGCTTAGATTTCCTATTTTTAACCCATCTTTTACTCCTCCTAGGTTTAGTAATTGGATAATTAGTAAAGGTTGAAACTTTTTATCATAGTCAAATTTTGCCTATCAATGGTTAGAAATTTAGGATCCTTCATTCAGATTCTAAAATCAAAACTGATCCCAAGAAATCTAAGTTGTTCATCAGTTTAGATACACTAAACCCCATCTTATTGACTAATTGCTAGTCTAATTGGTCTACATCTCCAATTTACTTTTGCTTAACACCCTTATCACCACCTTCTATTTTCCAGCTTTTTTGAATTCCTGATCTCTTGCAAGTGTCAAAAGGTGCCAGTTTGTACTCCAATAATCATTGAATGACATAGAGGCATAGGCCATACGAAACCATGTACATCAGGGAAGAAAGAAACTGCAGAATTATAATCTGTCTAATTTTCTACCCATAACTAAATTATTCTGATCACCAACAATGGTTCCAGCTTTGCAAAATTAGCCTATACTCAAGCCAATAAGAAAACTACAAAAAGACTATTAATGTCTGCAATATCATAAACAAAGAAGCAAAAAATTAGGGGAGAAAATGGGAATTGACGTACTGGACCAGGTCTTGCTGTCATTAACTAGACATTAGCACCAACAATTTCTATTTTCTAGTAAATGCAGCACTCAACAACACCAACATTCTGCCTTCTCGGATTAAAATCAGGATCACAGGGATATAAATGCTGGCCAGAAGCTGTTGGCAAACGATGTTCTTCCATCCCTGCAATTTAAATGATATGAACAAGATAGGATGATACATGACAGATACAGCACAACCATTGAGAAGCAAGTTTGATATGGTCTCTTTTTCCATGGAAAGGGAAAGAAATGTAAAACTGCACATAAATGTGTTACTTAAGTTCAGGTACAACTCAAATACTTGATGAGCTAAACCTACACTGATTTTGTGCACTTCCTAATCATCAACTGGCCTGGAATCATAAGAAAAAGAAATATAGTAGCTTGAAAATTTACAGGGTCAACATGTATCCGAAATAGATTTCATCCGGACCACAACATCCAGAGGACTGAAAGAGGGCAGAATGTGCATTTGCCTGCCCATCCACTCCTCTGCTATGCTCCTCGACAAAGGTGAAAGGTTAGATGAGAAAGAATTTCAGCTCACTCATTTCTTCGCATCTTCACATTAAGTGGAATTTCCTTGTAGGACTGAACTTTATCAGCTGCTCGACGTGTGGGTCGAAAGGATGTCCTTCGCAGTTCTTGAGCTTCAAAGACACTGTTCCCTGTATCAGATTCAATTTTTAAAGATGGAGCTGATGATGTTGGACAACTGTCCTGCACTGGATCAACATGTATTGGAGGAACATGAAATTTAGCATCATCTGTTGGGAACAAGTCTTCAGTTGGTTCTTGTATTTGTTCCTCAGATTTAACTCTAGCAGATCGCCTTCTTGTACAGTGCCTGCTGAGACAAGCATCAAAGCATATACAAATCCTTCATTTCTTTTAAATTCTTTCCAGAATGCTCAAGTCAAAAAGAAAACTATACAGGATTCTAGACCAAATCAGAACAAACCTCTTTGCATCAGTGTTCTTTTCAGTGAATTCTCCTCCAGATTTAAACCTAGCAGATTGCCTTCTCAAACAAACGCTGTCAGGAAAATGTTAAACAAACTTAAAACTTCAGAGAAAAGCTAAAATCCCTGATAAAGACATTTGTGAACTAAGACTATACAGGCTGCACCATATCAGAACAAACCTCTTTGTATCAACGCTCTTTTCAGTGGGTTCCTCTCCTCCAGATTTAAACCTAGCAGATTGCCTTCTCAAAAAAACAGTGTCAGGAGAAATGTTAAACAAACTTAAAACTTCAGAGAAAAGCTAAAATCACTAATAAAGACATTTGTGAACTCAGACTATACAGGCTGCACCATATCAGAACAAACCTCTTTGTATCAACGTTCTTTTCAGTGGGTTCTTCTTCTCCAGATTTAAACCTAGCAGATTGCCTTCTCAAACAAACACTGTCAGGAGAAATAACAAGCAAGCTTAAAACTTAGAGAAAAGTTAAATCACTCAGAAAGTCAATTTCCAAGCAGCCACATAGAGCATTTGCAAGACAAACCTCTTCTTGTCAACATTCTCTCTAGTTTGACCTGGTTTAACAGCACTAGGGTCGAAACCTGCATGGAACCAATAGAGAAAAAGTTGGCTTCATAAAAGAGTTTCTAAAATTTTGACTGCATGTCTAGTAAACTAGTTACATTGAACTTTTGATTGGCGCTTCCTTTTTGTGTTGCAAGGTTTATTCTCCTCCTCTGGTTGAGAGAATTGTGCAGCCTCATCAGCTTTGATGGTTTCAATCTACAAGAAATGATAAAACAGGATGAAATACTATGCAGGATACTAATGAAAAAGACCAACTACCCAAAAGTTCCATTGAGTTAACTTGCTCAAATACCTCATTTCTCTTATTCTGGCATCTAACTTTCTCTGCTTTCTCCTAAAACAGAGAGGGTTTTAGAAGTCGGTCACCAATATTACTGACAAGTGACAAAAACATGATCAACTTATTCAAGAGTGAGGCAAAAAGAACAGCGGCTAAGCATACCTTCAGCTCCAAATTCATGGCATTAAGCAAGCCATTCTTGCATCCCAGCTCATGCTGATATGCCTTCAGCTGAACAGCAACAGAACCAAGTAGTTCACATAAATGTTGCAACATAGCATATTGAGCACGACAATCCAATGGCTTGCACATATAAAAGCTTACCTTACCTTTAACTGCATTTAGTTCCTGCATTTTTAAGGGAATAAATTAGTCTCCCCGGGGGCTCCAAATTAGAAGCAATTTAAATGTGATTAAGAAATTTTTTCTGCATGAAATTACCGCTAACATCTGGCTGTTTGTTTGAGCAAGTTGCAGATTCTGTTGCTGTAGTTGCTGATAATTGTTTCTCAGTTTCTGCAACTCAATCGCACTCAACTCGATGATTTTACTGTTGACCAAAGTTAAGAAAAAATGGCACAAGAAACCACCAACAGGAGACAACAAAATTAGGGGAAAGAAAAACCAAAAGGAATGAAAACAAAAAGGATACTTCCTATCTTCAACACGCTTTGTCAATGCAATGATTTCCTGTGACAAAACATTCAAACCCAGTAAGCTAAATTCTACTCGATACTCAAAAAAAACATATCGACACAGGTCTAAATCTAGATATTGAAACACTCGAAACATACCCGTTGGAGCTTCTCAAAAAACTCTTTACTAACTAAAACAGATGGTGATTTCCCATCTTGGTTTCGCTGTGACAAATTGCTAATATCAGCAACCGTTTTCTTTTGTGCAGGCAAATTGCTAATGTCGGCAAATGCTTTCCTTTGCGCAAGTCCAACTATAGACCGTTTTCCCAGTTTCTCTCCCTTTGTTTTGTCACCTGACACATTTCCCAATTTCCTCAATCACGCAATTTAAGCTATTTTACACAATTAGTGATTCTGATTTGAATCATTGCTAATTTTCTCAGAAATTAAACAGAGATGCGCAGTTGCTTCGCAATTCTAACGCTAAAAACCCTAGTCAGCAGCAGATTTCGCAATTCTAACATCAATGAAACCCCTAAATTAAACACAATCAAACAATTTACTAAATAAATATCGCATGAAGTATCATAAATAGTAGGAAAAAATGGAGATTTTGCGAAATTTTATAAAAAATTGAAACAAAATTACAGAGAAAGAGAGAATACCTGTAACATTGACGTTTTCTGAATCAAGAACCAGCACACCCTCCATAAGCTAAAACCCTGGATTTTCTCTCTCCTTTTCTCTCTCTGGAAACCCCAATTTTTTTCTCTCTCCAAAAAAAAATCGATTTTGTGTAAGAAAGTGGGAAATTGTCCAAATGGAGGAGAGGAGGGAAAATACGAGAGATAATGAAGGGTAGAAATGGAAATATATTTTTCTCGATTTGGAGGGAGCCTATTTTATTTTTGAATTCCCTGCCCCATGGGCCCCGCTTCCTGTGGGAGAAGCGACGTGCTGTCATTTAATAGAATGGAATTGGCTGCAATTGACTACGCCATGTGGCGTTCTATTATTTGCTTTGGGAAGAAGAGGAAGCAAGCCGTTGCGTCAACGCAAAGGCTGTGACTGAGCCCAATTGATCCAATGATTTCTTGGCATGGGCTGGGTTTAGACCAAGATTTAGGTTTGTGGAGCATTATAGAGTTTTTTGTTTTTCCCCACTATTTTAATGTGGGATTTTTATTTTTTTTTCAGTTATTTCTGTGTTTTTGTGTGAGAACGCATTTTCGTTCAATAAAATCTAAAGTAACATCAATAAAAAGTATGTATGACAAGCGATTAAAACTACTGGGCATAATTTCAAGGTCGAAGGTTCAAATCTTATGTGTTTTTTTCTTATATCTGTCTTTTTTCAAAGTTTTAGGTTAAATTTTACATATTAAAAATAAAGCAAAATTGCAAAAACAATTTTTTTCTTCCAATAACTTATTTATCTTTATTCGATTGTATGGATATTTTTAGATCTTTTTTCATGTCAATAAAAATTAAGTTTTTTTCTTTTCTAGACGATTTCAAGAATATATTGTTCACGTCAGTATTTAAAAAAAAAATAATTAATTTTCTTAGATGTTGTTCTCATGTTTAAACCTAAAAAATCAAACTATTTTAATTAAAAAATTAATATCTTGAGATTGTTTTCATCCAATAATATATATATATATATATATATATATATATAAAGAGTGATTATAGCAAATTTCACCAGAAATGAAAATGGACCTTCTTATGATGAAGCAGGGAAATGCAGCTAGAGTGGACAATGTTGGTCGCGCAATTCTTGGACTGGGCTGTCGTGTCGGGCCTCCCTTATTTTTTATGTTTTCTGGGCCAACTTTGATTAAATGTAAAGCAGAGCTATAGAATCTTTCCATGAAGACACTACATCTACATAGGGATGGTAATAGGTATCTATAGGTCAGGTTTTGGATATTTTTATTATATTTATTATTTATCGGGTGAAAATTTTAAATATATTTATATAACCTATAGTAATCAGCATTTATCGTATGAGTACTATTTATTATTCAATAAATATGTGTATGACAAAATTATAAATACTATACGTATATGGGTGTTTATGTTAATATTAAGGTATGTGTATATTATCTTCAATGAAAATAATATAAATATTGTACATATATTCGTTTATAATATTAATATATAAATTTCGGATCGAGATTGAGTCGTGCTTTGGATCAGGTTTGACAGTATCTATATAAATATTATTCGTATGTGCGTGTTTGTGCTTATATTGAGGTATTTATATATTATCTTCAATGAAAATAATATAAATATTGTACATGTATTTATATATGATACTAATATATAAATTTCGAATGCATATCAAGTCGGTTTTGGAATAAATTTGACAATATTTATGTCATATTCATTATCCAATAAGATAAAAATTTTGAATATTCATACTCTATCTAAAATAGTAATTATCTATAAAAAAAATTAAAAACAAATTACTTACTGGGCGTCGATTCAGATGATGTCCATCGAGTTCATATTAGTTGTCGTCCCTCATCTACTCCATGAGGCTTCCTCTTCTGCTTTCTTCACTTGGCCTTTCTCTATTTCTTTTCATTTTTTTATTAAAATTGCCTTCTATTTAGTGTTACTGTTTGCATCACTAAATTTTTTAAAAAAATATTTATAGTTCTGCATCTGCCTTAGCTTCTTTCCATTTTGCCTATAAAGTGATCTATGTAATTTAAAATTTATTCATTTTGTAAAATATTAAATGAAATATTTTGTTGTAAGGTACGATTAAAAGATGTGGAACTTGACACTAACGTAAAGGTTTTATTATTTATTTATTTATTTTTCACAAACTTTTGACAAATGCAAAGCACATTATCGCCTCCAACAGTTTCCCATTAAAATACAAACTCTTTTTTTCTTGGAATATAGACTTTTGCTGCCGTTATGCTTTGTTTACTTTTCTCTAACTCGAGGCAATGCATTGAAGCTTTTCTTGCTATGGAGACAAAATACACGTAGATATCTACATTCCTTTATTTGAAATAAACGTCAACTTCTTATCATTTTATTGAATGGCTTTAGTTATAAAATTGAAAGTAATGATAGTAAAAAATAAATTAAATAAAAGCTCAAAACGAGTAGATTACGACAGCTTTTGAACAACTTGCAAGATACTTTTCAAGAAATTCATGCAAAAAAACGAAAAATAATTTTGTTCGTGTTTTTTCGTGTTGAGTTTCACATTTGGTTGAGAAATCTCATGTAGTTTAGTAATAAAAAATTTGAAGTGTTTATACATATATAAAACGGACTCATAATCTATCAGCCTAGTTTTTAAATTAAAATAACGCTTATTTTTATGTGTAAGCAGCCTTCACGTAAATCTATATACAGGCCAAAGTGATTTTTTTGTGCATACCTCCTCTCCACAAATGGTATTAAAGCTGATAGTACAGTTTAAGATGAGTGGCAATTGGGGTTATGTTCTCATGACTTTGTTAATTTTTTCATTGTTGAGCCAAAAACCTAAGTTTCAAGCTCTAATTTTAATCATTAGAAGTTTGAGGTTTTTATATGAATCTCCGAATACTTTCTAAAAATAATTATAAGAGGTGGGTGAAGATTCTAAAAGAGACCGTTAAGCATTTTTTTTCCAAGCATTTATAGTAGGTGGATCGAGAAGAAAATCAGAAATATGCTCGTTAGTATATGATTATATGGGTTTTAAAAAAAAACAAATTAAATTAACTCATCTTATTTTCTCCATGATTACCCAGATGACTACAGGCATAGAAAAAAATTGCAAAAATAATTTTTTTTTGCTATAATTTCCCCAAAAAACACCCACACCGTGAAATGAGCATACCGTTGGTTGGCTTTAACCAGATTAAAGTAACTAATAGGTCTCCGGCCTATAGTTAAAAAAGTTGCTTGCATTTGTCACGAAATTATGGATGCAGATTCTTTTTCTGAAATATAAGTTTAAAAAATACGTTATTACAAAAATAAATCATAATAGTCATTCATTTTTTATAACAGTGACTAATTAAATTTGTCGTGATAATACTTTTTTTTTTTGTTAACTACTAACAAAAGCTCATTGAAAATATAAATTACCAAGTGAACCGTTTTCTTCCAATGAAATTGACAATTTGCCCTGAAGATAAGGTGTTGTGTATGGGGGTTGGGAGGCAAATTAAGGTCGACTCTAATTTCAGTAGAAGAAGTGAAAGCTCACACTATATTATTTGCACGAGTGGGGTAGAGAAACGATCCAAAGAAAATGATGGTAGTTTGCTTCCCAAGATATCTTCAAGTAACAAAAAAATCAAAGATTAATGTTTTAGAAAACTATACATTTTATAATGATTTTAGCTTTTTTTAAAAAATATATAAAAAATCATCAATTATGCATCGATAACAATATTAGCACCGATTTAATTTTTCGATTAAAATTTTGATCAACGCCGATATGACAATCAACGTAATCACGACACATAAACTTTAGTAAGACACATGGGATCTACGTAAACAATGACGTGGAAATCAATTACGTTGATCCTACGTAACTTGCTAAAGTTGATATGTCATGCTTACGTGGATCCTACGTGACTTGTTAAAATTCATGTGTTATGTTTCGTCGCCTATCATCTAGCGTTGGTCAAAATTTTAGTTAAAAAATCAAATTGGTGTTAATATTGTTATCGAATGCTTAGTTGGTTATCTTTTTATATATTTTTTAAAAAAATAAATTAAAATCATTAAAATGTGTATAATTTATGATTTTTTAAAAATATTAAGCCAAAAATTAATATTTTATTGGTTTGTTTTGTTTACTTTTAAGCTTCTAAGCATGCTTGCTTGCTTTTTGGCTTTATTTTGTAGTGGAGGAGTACTCACTCACTTCGGCATGGTAAGGAAAAGGGGTTGCATAAAAATACAAGTGGAGAAAATTGCAACTTTCCCACTCCAAATTCAATTTTTCTTGCTGGGTTTGATGACTAATTTTGACTTGTTTTCTTTCAAAAAGAGAGGCAGAGGGCGTGGTCATGCCTACTTTTCATTAATTTTTCAGGGGCTAGTTAAAGTGACTTTGAACTTTTTTTTTTTTTTCAGCTTACGGATCTTGAAGGAGAACTGTTTTAGGTTGGAAAATTGTTCAGCCACGTGAGGCTATGAAGCTACAAAGGTCTAGCGTAGGGCTGAACATGAATATTAGGCAAAGAAACGATATCTTTAATCGGATTTCATTCTTCAAGAATAAGAAAGTTTTTTTTTTTTTTTAATGATGTGTATTTTTTTAGCCAGGTTTTATGCATCAATTTTTTTTTTATATATGTATATAATTGGATTTTAGATAGGCCATGATATGGGAAAACTAAAGCATTTTTTTTTTGTGGATATACAAAATTGTGAAACATCTCTCTCGCCAACCTCAAGAAAAGCATTTATACCTTGCAAAAGAAAGTACGTTTTGCACATACCAAAAGGTAAATGCGTCCCTTCTTTATAATTTTCTCTTCTTTTTATCCGTAACACAATTGGCTTTATACCTCCGGATCAGTATGCATGGCCGCCGCCCCAGTAATTAAGGAAATTGGCAGGATCCTGAAGACAAATTGTAAAAGTTATTTCTTCTGATTCCACCAAAGATTAAAAGCGGCAGTTTTGTTTCTATAGACATTTTTTCTCCTCTTTTGAGCCGATTTCAATGAAAACGC